TAATACAAATAATCATTCAAAATATGCAAGTTTTCTGTGATTAAACAAATGCAATAGAGAAAATAACAAATAAAGACTTTCTACAGAAACTGCCAACTTTCATACATCTGCTCCCTCTCCTATAAAAATGGTGGCTATGAATTACGAAAAGAAACCACAGAAAAAGCATACAAAACACAGGCTCAGTGCAAAATCTATTTCTTAGCTCATGGCCATGCAAAGACTGCAAATTATTTTCTTTTTCTTCACTCTCACACACAGAAAAGTATCTCCCATTTGCTGTCAGTGGAACTACAACAACGTAAAACAAGGCAAAAAGGGAGGCAAATCAGACTCAGCCATTAATTTTTTTAGGATATTTTAAACTACATGAGCAGAGCAAACAAATTTGACCTTAAACTGGTAAACCGCATTTAAAGCAGGACTGAATGTTCTTGCATAGTAATTCTAGATCTTCCAAGATGATCAGGCCATTTATTGTGCCCAGGCAATACACTATGGTCCATTAGCTGATTTTTATGTTCATTCTTCTGTGTTTAAGAAAACAAAAATGACTGTACCTTGAACAGATTTTAGACGTTGTGCAAAGTACTAGCCCAAAACTTAACCTACTTGATATAGCATCTCTTGAGATCTTATTTGCAAAATTAATTCTAATTGGCTGAATACTGTGTTCTGTCGCATGGAATGAAAACTGGTTGAAGAGCTGTAAACAAAGGTTAATATCAGCCAACAGCATATCACACCAAGGGGAGCCACAAAGTTTGCTGTGAGTTCTTGTATTTAACTTCTACGTTAATGGGAGCTAAAACTAATCTGTGAGGTGCTGTAATCCACTGAAGAGACAGAGAAGTATTTTATGGATCTGAAGACGTTATAAAATGATTGGATGCTGGAGAAGAATATTTGGCTTGAAAAAATGCAGTCTTGTATACCAGAGAAGAAAAAGTGATCAAAAAGAGAGAATTTCAAAGGGAACTCTGGAAACTTATAAAGCTGACACAGGTACTTGTTGAGGAGGACGAGGAAGACATCCATGAGTTTCAGCTCCCGTGCACATGTGCTGAGGCAACGCGCAGAGAGGCAGCAATGAAAACTCTTTGTCAGTATCTACAGTACTAGTGTGTACTTAAAAGACTCCAATCATTAATACCACTGTATTTATTCTCGCAATGTCTCTGTGAGATAGGGAAATACCACTATCCTCCTCTCTCTCATGGGAAATTTAAGCACAAAGGAAACTTAGGGCACTATCCAAAGCAACTGATTTCAGCTCATTTGTGTAGCTGTAACTCTAATTCTGTAGCTAAATCTGAGGTGCAAACGGGTGTAACTCCCACTGAATGTGCTGGAATTGCTTATGTAAATGTTAGGTCTGAATATAGGCTCAACTCAGGATGAAAAACATTAAACACAGGAAATTCACAGTCAGTTCCCTCATATCCTTGGCATGCTTTAATGTCATCAGACAGAAGTGGGCAGCAAAGGAAGCCTTCAGTTGAGGATCCTCCTCTCGCTGCTGCCACCTCACGCTCCCCAGAATGTTGTTCTCAGAGATCCTTCCTGGCATAAGAAGGATGGGACTCTTCTGGAGTCCCCCATCTTCATGGGCAGCTTTGCAGAAAGGTCCCCATAATGGGAAACGTGTCCCCTACCCAGGGCTTACTGAGCACACCATTCCTGTGGGGAATTCAGGAATGGCTAAAGCTCCTGCGGGGGGGGGACGACTGCCCTGCTTCCATGAGGAAGCAATGCTCATACAAGGGCATCCCCTTACAGATTTCCATTCGGAGACAGCAGTGCATGCGGTCATTCCATCTCATACTCTCTGTAGTCTACTTATAATTTTATTTGAAAGAGAAATACAGTAAAATGGAATGCAACTTGTTATGAAGCATCTCTTAAAACCAGACTGAAAACCTGGAAATGGCTTTGAAAAAGGAGAGTAGTCTTTTATAGAAATCATTACAGTTTCTTTTGGCCAGCTCCTTAGCTGGTGTAAAAATCCCAATCACCTATTGAATGTAGTGTGCATCTAAAACACCTGTGGATCTTGCTCTCATTGATAAACCCCAGGAAATTATAACTAAGTTGAATACTACAACAATCTCCTCAAAACTGGCAGGTACTGTGGCCAATTCTAATCCATCATTTAAAGAGCTTTTCTATGAACTGCCTGATATCCGTGTTTCTGCTACTGCGTGCGGCTGAATTTGCATTTCTGATTTTAATATGTTTTTCATTTCTTGGTTGCTGTACAATAAAAAAATTAGTGGCCTGTATCTACACGTGATGGGCTATCCCAACATTGTTTAACTCTATTTCAGAAGCATCTCCCAGTTTAGGATGATGTCCAAAGCTCAAAACACCCTTTCCTCAGCCAGGAAAATACACGACTATGACTAAGTTTACTCATCAATCATTAGTAAATGCAGTCTTATTTGCTGGTACTAATCACAGCTCAATAGCATCCCATTGACTTCATTGGAATTTTGAATAGATAGGCCACAGAAGAAGAAAAGCCTTCACAAAAAACGTTCTTAATTACAGAAATACGCAAATAAACTACTGCTTATTCTAAGACTGAAATTAAAAGTACAATTTAATGATAGGAAAAAATAAAACTAAATGTTGGCAAATCAAGTCACTTGGTTATAAGAGGAATAAAATATAGCCACTCAAGATAAATCTGTTCAATATAAAATTTCAGTGCCTAATTCTTGGGTTTGGTTTACAGGTGACATTTGTTTTTGAAATTCAGATAGAAATTTCAGCCCTCAGTAACTCTGCAAGATGCTTGTTTCTATCTGCATGGATTTCTGGTCCTCTCTTCCTGTGCAAACGCAACTGTCCATGGGGCCATACTACGAGCCAGATAACTGAAACAACCAGAGTCCTGTTTCCATGAAAATAGAAAGTTATCCAAACCACACCATACCATGCCATAAGGATTCCAACAGCCACAAATAACATCCTTAATGAAAAAGGAATACTGCAGATAAATTTATCTCTTTTTAAACTAACAGTGAGAACAGATTAGCTGTTTCGAATTTCTGCTTCAAGACAGCTTTTTAAGGATACATGTCATTTTCTGTTTGCTCCACTTTTCCTTTCAGATTTCTGGCAATTATTTTCCCTGAACTCTTCTATCCCAGTTGTATTCTAGTTAGACTTGAAAGATGTCTTACATCTAGATGTATCTTCAGTTTGAGACCATCCCTCTATCAATTTGGTAAAATATTACCAATAAGGAAATATAACTTCTAAATTTGAGACAAAATAATTAATGTAGAAGAGTGAACTTAATTGAAGTAGTTTATGCCTTAATTTGGGCATAAACTAATGTCCAGAAACTACTCTTAATTATTGCAAATGAGTTAACAATTAATTTATTTTTCCTTTAAAGGCCAAAGTACAGTGCCATTTAGTACAGTTTCCTCTGATGCTGTCCTTAGATTTATACAGCCTAACAAGAACAGTAAAAATAATGACTATTTTATACTTTTGACTTCATCTCCTCTTGGGATCTCAAATGAGTATATACTTTCATTTGGGTCTTTCAAACCATGAAAGCAGAGGCTTGAAGGCATCTCTGCTCAAGATGTCCTTTTTGACAAAAGAGCTCATTTAAAGTGTCCGTACTCCCAGCTTCCACCCAACACAATAGTTTGCTGTCCTCCTAGTTATGAATTACAATAATTTGCAAGGCCATGCCCTAAATGGATATCCACACCTATCACCATCCACAAAGTGGATTAGGCAAATGACTTCAGTGAAAATCTACAGCTGAGATAGTGGTAAAAAACTCTGCAACAGAAATTCCTGCAAGGAGCAAGAATTTCTTGAGCTAGCTTTGCTGATAAGAAATAGGAACTATGGCCTAAAATGCATAGCAAATAAGTACAGACTATGCTGTTAATTACAACATGCAGAAACAAGCCGGACTGAGAAGAAAGGCAACAAAAAGCCATCTCCCTTTACCCCATCTAGATTCACAAAGGACTGCAGTTCATCTGCTCTGAAAAACAAAGGCATGTTCTGAATTTGAATTAGCTGACTGCAGTTAAAAAGCAAAAAAGACAGGCCAGTTTTAGTTTAAAGTCAGGTTAACAATTCCTAAATTGTCTATAGATGGAAACTTGAGCCATGAACACTACTTAAAATTCAGGCTGCCTTATCATCATTGTTTTTAAATTCAAATTTGCTGGTTGGGGTAATCAGCCCAGGTAAAGAATGCGTCTGCGTGCGTATGTAGAAATATGTGTGTGCACTCATCTTTTTGGCAATATAACCTCCAGATCATGCTTAGCTAGAAGCAGGAATAAAAGCAACTAGCAGATTTTCTTCCACTCCAGCTAGAGGCTCTAGCCAGGTCACAGTAACCAGGGTAACTCTTATATACTTCTCCCCGAGTGTCCTTTCATGGAGGCAGGTCATGGAGCCTATGAGGCTCTGATGAGTCAGGTGCAGACATTGATCTGGATCAAAAAAAAAAAATACTTTTTGCATTTTTTTAAACTGGGATCAGCTTTGTGTTCTAGATTACCTCTGGTCCCCAAAATTATTACACCCTGACATCTGATGTAACATCATGAGAGTCAGAATGCATCACTCTGGGCAGGAGCTGCTTAATCCCCCCTTGCTGCCATTAACAGAAATATGTGGGTATCCTTTTCCTCAGGGTGTGTACATTTCTCCTGGCTTCCTGGCAGCCTTGCCCCACAGCTCATTAAAATAAGTCTTAAGTAACTTGCCTTAGGTCACTCAGGAAAGTCTATGATAGAACCAAGAATAGAAACCTGATCACTCTTAGCAAAGAATGGGATTACTTACATGACTAAAATGACTTGGCTTCTTAAGCCTTTGCACGTTTGGATCTTCTATTCCTTTTACAGAGAAAATCTCTCGTACAAGATGTACAATACAATTTTAAAATAAAGTTTGGGGAATGCATGGCTAACGTAGAGTCATAGAACAGTTGTGGCTGGAAGAGATCTTCAAGATGAAATACTATTGTTTTGAAATGGAAAGTTTTCCTTACTGGAAGATTTGCCTGCTAAGCATGAAAGGTAAAATTTCTGTTTCAAATTCCTGCTTACAGCAACTACTTCACAAATTTTCTCATATTCTCATTTTGCTATCTTATCTTTAAATTCTTTTTTGAGATTCAAAATTATTTGTTACGTATAAGTATATGCATACTACCTTTCATTTTTTATTTTTTTTTTGCCTGTGAGTGTCTTTAATTTAACAGCCTAATAGACAGAATTGGCAAAATATTTCCTCAGTAACATTCATGTAGAATGCATAAGCATTTTATGAAGAGTTTAATTTCATTATGTTCTAAGGTATAAAGCATATAAACACAAGGCTTACTTAATGGAAAAAACTTTTAGGCTACAATATATGCATAAGGGTTTTGTTAATTTTATATAAACAGAAATGAAAAAATATTCTTTCATAATAAATAAATACACAATGACAAAGGTTACAATTGAAGGGATTAAAAATGACAGAAGCCAACATAAAAACTTTCAGTATCGTACTTTTACTTTAATATGAAGACATTATTATCAAAGGAAAATACTTGAGAAACGCTATGATAAAAATAATCTCACGCTATCTTTGAAGCGGTTTCATTTATTTTACTACCCACTGTGTTCCTTATCAGAAGGCCAAGTATAAGAAGTTTCCTAGTTTATGATTAGGAAAGAATCTGATAGATTAGAAGACTCAATTGAAGTTGGACATAATAAGTATTAAAGTATTACATGACATTAATCCTGCCATTCCATTACTCTCTCAATCATTGTGCACAGACTAATTATTCTGAAGCCAGTGTTCGGGAGAAAATAGAAACATACTTACACTGGGTTGGAGTAATCTCTTTATTGCATCAACAAGGCTAGCTCTGTACCGGTCCAGAAACAGGCTGACATTGAGAAGAGAACAGAATCCAGATTAAAATGGGTTTTCAATTCTAATGATACTAATGCAGATAAGTACAAGGCTAATTACATATGTTTACACAATGCTGTAAAAGAGAAACTGTGGTCTACATTTCCGTCCAGTTCAGGTACTTCTAAACATTAAAAAAATCCCAAACAACTAAATATAATCGAAGCAGAAGCTAAAGTACCAGCATGAAATAGATCTTTATATAGCTGAAATTCACAGATCACATATGCTAGCTACTCAAATACCACCATATAAGAAACCAGGATCAATATATAAAGTTAACATTTTATATGTTTTTTTTTAAACAAAGAGGGTGCATGGAGTTTAAAAAAATGCTTTCTATTGTATTTCAGTTGTTATTATGAAGGGTATATTTTTCCCTTTACCTTCACAGTTGCAGCATTAATTAATTATCTCTTATGTATATTTGTTCTATTTCTCTATCTATTTCTATCTAGCCCTATAAAGATTTACAAGCTCCCACTGTCTCTCTCCCTCAGACACTGTTCAAACACAACGACCCAGGATCATACAGTGTTGTCCTCTCTCAAGAGCAAAATCCTTCATCAAGTAAGGATAGCAGCAGAGTAAATTTTTTTCCAGGTTTGAAATTTCTAAAAGAATATAAAGAACGTAAGAAAACACTGAAAAGAAAAAAAAGTGGTCTGCCAACCACATGTCAGTCATCAAAAACGGAGTGTGTGTGGATATTTAGGTAAGGATGCTCCACAGCTACTGAGGAGAATATAATAACACATATCAGAGGGTAAAGCAGCTGTGTACGAGCTGTGAATTTTTGCTACTCAGGGTAAAAAAAAAAAGCCTGTCAGAAGACTTGTCAGTGACCAAATTTCATCTGTAAAATTTGGAGAACCTCATGTTGAGAAAATATAGTAGAGTGGGTATCCATACATTTCTTAAAGAACATTTTATATAGAAGTATGATGTCTTGATTTTTTTTCTCAAGATATCGAAATGCTAGCTAGCAACTTCTCTGATAGCCTGTCCATAAGAAAATTTAAACTTTAACAATTGTCATGATGGCTGTCCCTCAGCCTTGATTAATCTTACTGGAAGAACCACACTGAAAAAATGCTTGTTTAAATTTAATTCATTGAAACAGCAGCTCATATCTCTAGTGTCTCCTGGGAGTTTTAATCACATTCACCTCAGGTAGCTACCATAAGACACTACTTCACTGGGAACTTTGCCACCTTCAGAAGAAGTGGAATATAGTGCATGAGTTCTCTCCCAAAAGAATCGCTAAAAATAATTAATTTTCTTCAACATGAAACATCATGAACATGCACAGATTTAAGACTTGCTGTGATCCTGTGTAGACAGGAGCACATTCCAAATGAAAAACACAATCATTTTTATTTTTGAAAGCAGTGTAGTGGAAACACAATTTTGGGGCAGCTTACCAGTGCTGAAATTCCTTTTCCATGGACCTGCACACCATTCTCGCTTTTTACTATGGGATAGGGGCACAACTGCTGCCATCAATCTTGTTCCTTTACCATGAGGGAACTACAGGCCTTTGTTCACTAGAATCGGAGAACTTTAAATGGTTACATGCCCTGCTAGATTACACAACTTCAGTAACACCTTTTCTGTCTGACACCAACTGATATTTTGGTGGGAAGAGAGGTAGACTCCTAGTCCTCCTAGCTTAGGAAACCCAGATAACCTGGGACAGCTGCCCTGGCTCTGCTCCCAAGTTGTCCCTGCCCTCCAAAAGGCATGTCCCTGGGAACATGACCTCCTTCAACCGAAAAGAGTCTCCAGTATTGTGATTTCCAGTCTGTTGCTCTATGAGACACCTACTCGGACCAAAGAGCAGAGAAGGCTGGAAATTACATTAGTGCAGTGACTCCAGGGAACATCTCTATCCTCCCTCTGCGTTGGAGGACGCCTTGAAGGACGAAAATCCTGAAGAAGTCGTTAGGTAATCTGTGCTGCAGACAGGGCCAGCACAGGATTTGGCTCACGCAAGGAGATTTAGTCCCACTATTTCTTTTACCAGTAAAATTCGTATGACTAAATATTACCACAGCATACCAAAAATATGCCTGAGAGAATCCTTTAATGCCCACAATGACCCAGTGAAATTAAATAATGGATTGTTTTAAACCACGCACACTCAGGTCTCATACCTCAATTCAAATCTGGCTTAACTCGCCATTACTTTATTGGTAACGTCTCGTGTTTCTGTAGTAAGGATGCTGTGAAAGCTTCAGCTCAGGAGCAGCAAGGTTTACCTGGGCCAGCAAGGAAGTTCTGAATCATAGCAGCAGAGAGGTAAGAACACAGTTGATGACCTGGCCTTTGTTCAGGCAGTGTTCTTAACCTGTGAAATTGCAGGCAACCTTGTCACCTCTCTCCTCTTGTGTTTTTTTGTTTTTTTTTTAATTTTAAATTACCCTTAAAATCCATATGAAACTTTATACCAAGACTGTATGGAAGTAACAGAAAACCAGAAGGAAACAAATCGAAAAATCAAGTAGGTTCTCAGTTTGCTTCATACTGATATCCTTTTATCTTATGCCTTGCAATAAGGTCATATACTTCCATTTTATAGGCTATAATGTGAACATATTTTAGTTTATGCATACTTTGCAATTGGTAAAAGAGCTTAGTTTACAGGTGTGCTTCAGATATGATTATATTCGTGTATAGGGTCTAATGGAAAGAGCTTTTGTTTGCCTTCAACTACATGGCTGGCATAAACTGAAAAAACCCTTATTCCCATATTGTCAGATTCTAACACACTTGAAGGTGTGTGCAAGAAATCAGGCTTAAAATGAATTATATATTTAAACTGAAGAAGTACAAAGATCTTACTACATTCCTGCAAAATTATTTCCTTACGTTAAATGGAATACAATAATGGAGACAAAAATGACATTTTAAGATATTTAAAGAGTATTTTCAGCTCAGTTCTACATTCCTGATAAATCCACAACTCTCCATGACGTCAGCAAAAATCTCAGCAGTGAAAGTAATGTAGGATCCTCCCCCTTGGCCTCTGCTGTGCAAGTACTTATGCATGTGCCAAATGTTAAGAATGTAATCAGCCTAAGTAAGTAAAGTGGGATATTACGCATTTCCAAACTGATACAGGGATCTAGACGTTAAAGTGTGTCTATATTAAAATTATTTGTTAAAATTTGTTTCACAAGAACATGAAAGGCAAATATTTTTCTATTGGCTCAGTTCTTCTGGCCTTGACTCTCTCCTTGAATTGATAATCTCAGCAACTTTTTTCTTAATAAATAAAAGGATTAATGCTACCTTTTAAATACCCAGAAACCTGAGGCTCTCAAAAGCTTTGGAAGAGTCCTGGTTTTGGCCTGTTCATATAGGCACCTGTTATCTCTCCTCCTCTATGCATGCTCATTCTTACAATTCCAGCACCTGCGTGACTTTATATCCACAACCCTAAAATTCTGGCATCCCTCAGCTGGCCTTAAAATTCCCCCTCAAAAATATGAGGTGGATGTACATGCTTTAAATATTCCATTATTTTTAGTATTTTTTTTTCCAGTGTATCCCTCTTCCAGGTGTGGCCTCAGCAAGACTTTTTTTTTTCCATATTTTTATCTCATAGTTGACATTTTACAAGTTATTTCAGAACTTCTGAACCATGAAACTATTTTATTGTCAAAATCCTGAATGGTTAAATAATGACTAGCTTTCACAGTTTGCCTCTTATTTATTTTATAATCTAGTTGAGCTACTAAATTTAGCTGTTAACTAATAGACTGTCTGTTCTGGGAAATAACTTATTTTCCACCCCTGCACACAAGGTTTATGAAAGTCTGACTGTAAATATATGAATATAAACATATCGCTGCTTGTTGTAATTATGTACATTTTTACTTGAATCTCCATGTGGATTTGAAATATGTTTATGAATAGAGCTTGTTTTAATGTAAATGGGATCAAGCAGTACCACTGGTTAGCTATTCAGAGAATCAGACAATATCACCCTTGCTGGAAACACTTCTATAAAAATTTATCCATGTACCTAATATTTGAACTCGGATTTTTTGCTTTCTAGTTCTCTGTTCTAATCTCAGATTTTATTGACTGACAATGAGCTATATGATGGTGTTAAGCTAAATGCAATCTATTCTATCAGTTTTTATCGCTGCATACTTCAGGTTTCAGACGAGGAGCTATAAGAAAAGAGATTTTTTTCTTTTCCTCATCAATGGCAGCCCAAAAAATTCAGAGAGCAAAAATCCTGCCAATGGTTCTCAAGCCGATTCTATATCTCAGAAGAGAAATACATGAAAATGAAAAGAAGATTTGAGTTTGATAAAGCATAGAACACTTTTTCCCCCAGCCTTTTCATGTACTAGAAAACCTAGTGTCCATAGCTAAAAGAATGACTTATAAAAGAAAATAAAGGGATTTTCATGCTTATTAAACTATAGATGTGGGCACTTGCAATAGGAAAACAGAAGACAATTTGTGAATAAATCCATGTACTTTAAACTAACCTGCATACCTCTATTTATTTTTTTAGAAATCTATAAATATTTATACACTTACCTGCATCTTAAGTGCTTCAAAATAAATGTGCAAAATGCAGGGATTGCAAATGCATTATGTATTTTACCTGTCATGTTTGATTCTTTGTTTCCTAAAGAAACCACACTATTTCCAAACAGACTGAGAGGAGTATTAGGCAAGAATATTACTGAAAAAAATAACTTAAGTCTTGCTCCACTCCGCTGTACTCCCAGCACAAATAGGATGACATGGTGTGAGTATCAAGAATACAAGAGATGGCACAGCCAGGTTGTTTTGATATTTGTGTGAAGAACAAATTTAACTCTAAATCTCTTGGCAAGACCTTGCTTCACCCACATAATCTGGAGAACATCCATATGTGAGCCTTGTCTAAGCCTCCGAGAAGACTGCTGCCCTCCTGCTCATGTCCGCCAGCACTCTGATCTGACTTTCATACTTAATCTGATCTAATCCTGTCCAGCATTAACTTCATCTGTGCAATGAAACCTGGAGTATCCATTCTAATATTCGGTGAGGAAGGCATTTACTAAATTACTTGCTGAAATCATATGGTGTTGTTTAGCTCCTTATTTTAATCAGATGATGCATCTCTGAGGCACATTATCAGCGATTAGTTAGAAACCCTTCTCTGTCCTTTTTGGGAACAAAGAACTTTTCTGAAATTAAACGCTAGGAGAAATGAAGCACTGTTGCATTCTGTCAACAAATAGGTTTTAGAAGAAGGAAAAAAAGACGACTAAACACACTTTCTCCAGTGCTATATAAAACCAGCAACTTTTCTGAAACAAGATGAGTTTGCTTAAAAAGCAGAATATCAAAGATTAAAAAAAAAAAGCTTTAGAGGAATATTTTATCAGAAGCCACTTAAAAAGAACATTGTTTAAAAAGACAATAGACAGCTTTGTACTTCCCTTTGCCTATTTCCTTTAACTATTTCTCAGTAAAGCACAGAAATCTGCTGAACTGAGCTGCCCTAGGAAGTCCCTGTTTTCAGAATTTGGTATCTCACAACACTTACGTGCAACAAAACATAAACAGCTTTTTCTGGCTTGGGCATTTAAAGGGTCAAGAGGGAATATCCATGAAGGAAAGATAGTCTCATTTAAAAAAATCTACTCTCCTAAATGAAATCTATGCATCTCTTTTTACATTGTCTGCATTTATGCAACACAAATAATTAATAACATACCATGAAGTTAGCACGCAGCAAATACAGCACAGCACAATCCAGTAAATCCAGTGTCAGAAAAGGGTTGTGACAATGACCAACTGTATTTGCATAAATTATTAAACAATATGTCATATTGCAACATGTATCCACATTTTCATAAATTAAGTGCCATCCTCTTATTTTTTTACTAGGAGTTCTCTTAGAATTAATATCTGCCTGTGTAAATAATATAAAGCCTATGTCTACAAATATTACTGTCAAACTGATTTAAGAAACAAAATGTGATGGGGGGGAAAAAGGTTTTGAAAATCCTTTTTTCCTCAGAAGGGTTTTCTGGGGAGCAAAAAAATATATCCCCTTATATCAATAGTCAGATCTTTCCTAAGAAGTAAGCTAATTGAGCTGTTTGTGTTGATAAACTCCCTTTTCTCCAGACTGTTCCTCACTGAGCCATAATTATTTGCAATTTGCCTAAGTCGTCCATTTACTGATACGTCAAGCATGAAACAGAGGCAATTCCAGAAAATGGAAATGCTTCTCAAAATCAATCTTTGGGAAATAATGTGGTAGAAGTTACTGTGTGATAGAAGACTACCTTATAACTGTCACATGGAGATGAATATTAATTTGTTGAGGTTAAGGTGGCTTTGTGCTTCATTTGTTGACTTTGCTTAGCCATCAGCAAGCAGCACAGTACAATTACTGCAGCAAAGCTATTTTTCTAACATGAGTTTTATGATTTTTATGTACTTACCAGTCAGCACACATAACAATGTCAAAATGTCCTTCCAGTTGAGAGACATCTGTCTCATTATCCCATCGTAAAATGCTAGAGGAAAAAAAAAGATTTTTTTAAAAGAAGAAAAGACAAAAAAAGGACTTAGATTTTTCATCTTGAGATTTTTAAAGTATTAATACTATTCCTATGTGACACAGAAGTGTTTTAAGAAGTACATAGTTGTTACTTTCAACGATGAACACAAAAATATTATTCTGAACATTTTTAAGGTTTTAAATCCCAAAGCCAAAGAGCTATTTTTTATTAAAACAGAAAGGCAATCCACACAGGTTCTGGTGAGCGGATCAGCAACAAATATGCATTTCTGATTTAGCGGCACGTGTATGGCTTCAGATTTTTACCCCTTAACACCACCGCACGAGGAAGTGAAGTATCGACAATCTGAATGAAACAGAAATTTGCAGAATACATGTGAGTTCATGGATCTCTGTTACATCTGGCAGGCAAGTCAGTTGTGTTTCTCGCTGATGAAGTGAGCATTCACTTGGACTGGAGGGAGGAGGGACAGGGTGAAAAAATGCCAAGCTTAACTTCAATGCCAGTTACGTTGCCTCGGGCAGGCTTAAAAATACAGCAGTGCTGACTGTGTCAACACCTATTCTCTCACAGGTGCTAAGTTATTTAGTTCTAAGGTGGCCAACAGTAGGCAAAAATGTACATATGTACAAAGTTCTTCTTCGATTATAAATGCTGTCAATTTATGTAGCTGCCAGGAAGAATTTCAGTACTTTGCTCCCATTTTTAAACCAGCAACTAGTATTGGAATTTACTGCATACTTAATATATCATTACCCTGAAGATTTGAAGCTGCATTTCTATTTCTAGGCTGTTTTTTTTCTTTAAAGAATCTATTGCTCTTTTTCATTTCCTGGTTATTTATAATAGAAAGTAGATAAATATTTATGGGAAAAGCACTTGTGGGGGGAAGGGTCTAATCTGATCTTGTCAGGTTGTGCATGCTTATCTCAGTTTTGTATGAGTCTTGACCAAATAGACCCTTTAGTCTTGCCGCAGCTATAATCTACTTCTGGTTAAAAGCCATCTCCATTCACATCCTACTCCTAATATTTAACTGAGGATCAGTTATAATATGTTCATTCAGAAATGTTCCCTAAGTGTACAGGAAGAAAGGAAATTCCATACATTGATTACACTATACGCAAAAAAGGCTCATAAATACGTAGATGGATAGATACAGGGCCATAAAGAATTAAGGTACTACAATATGTGTGTACACTTGCACTGACACAAAATTTGAGAATGCCTTTAAAACATGGAAATTATGAAAGTTGGTTGGGAAAGCTTTGATTATGTGGGGCTCACTGTAACCAAACAGATCAGGACTCACATTAGCCTGTTTGCCCTCCTGGAATTTACTGTGACAATCCACAGAGAGAAAAGAGTAGATTAATTTAATTTTTCCCCCTCAAATTGAAAGTAATCCAGATTTTAGAAGCCTAGGTAGCTTTGCACACTGGCACGCAGCAGGCATCCAGTAGTGGAAAGTGACAAAGGAGAGTTCTCACTCTCAGCTGCTGGCTGCCTGCTGGCTACCAGCCGCTTTTTCAACCCTGTTTCCGTGGAAACTTAGGTTAGAATGGTGAAAATTAGGTAAAGGTAAGTTTTGTGGGTTTAAAGCACGCACTCTAATACTTTAAGAATCCTGAAGCAGAACTGGAAATTGGTAGATGAACTGTGAGCCTTAAAAGGCCACCTTTGGTTCTCATTGCTACAGAAACAGAGATCTGATCACTGTGGTGATTTGAATTATGATTTTTTTTAACCCATATATTTACTATACTCCACATATGCAGTTCGGAACGCAGCACAGGTGCCTCCTCCTGGAAAAAAACCAAACCCACAAAAAACCTCTCTATGTTACTGTCTAGTTCCAACTGAGCAACCGAAATACAGCATCTTCTGTGTACACCTACCATAGGCACAAAGGAGTTTGTGTGGGTAGGCAAAAGCTCAGAAACCACAATGCTGAACAAAATATGGAATTGTTAAGTTGCCAGGAGCATAAGCAGTGGTGCAACGAGACTGGCTTGTGTGCTCTTAGAAGAAGTAAGCCAAGGGCCCCACATCCAGCCTTTTCCCAATGTAGTGCTAGTGCTGCTCTTGGTCTCTACCTTCAGCACAGTTGCATTCCTGAAGACATGATAATTATGCAAAGGCCAATGGTAAATTTACACACAAAACTTTCAAAATCAACTCTGCTACAAATTTTCAAAAGGTAGAGGAAAATCTTTATTCCTGTGGGGAAGTAACCACGTAAACTAAAGATAGCTTCTATAAAATAAATGCCAACAGGGCTCATTCTGAATTTGCCGAAGATGTACACACACTGGTGGGAGAGATGCAACTACAAGCTGTGTATATTTACCCACGCTATCTTTAGCCAAGTGCACGTATGATTACTAGGGGAAGTGCAGCGAGGGTACATGAAGCTCAGCACCGGCTGCCACCTCCGAAACTGTTTTGGTAGCTAACTCTGAGCTACCATATTCACACTGTTATCCATTTAATGCTTCCACAGATTTGCATGTGCTGCAATCAAACACCTGCACCTGTAAAGCAGACATGCCCCTCTTCCCCATCATATCAAGGAATCAGAAACAACTGGGCTCAGAGTCAGCAATATTATATAATTAACACTGATGTCAGAATCAGCCCGATTCTGAATCAGAATTAGCTATTTTGAACGCTGCTGCTAATGAAAGCAGTGAATCAGAGTCAGGACGTATATAAATACCATCCACTAGCCAAACGAGTTCTTGTAATCCAAACACAAGTCCCAGTTGTGAAGTACAGAAAAATCCACCAACATGCAAAACAACTCAGAAATGTAAAGACCTTTACATGTGTATTTAAATGTATGTACCCATACGTAGTAAGGGGGTGAGGAACAACAATTTTTTCAGGAATTACTGAGGATGTGACTCTTGGACCTAGTGGTCAGACCTGAAAGGAACACCGAAGGCACCATGAAGGAAGGGCTGATTGCATTTCCACTTAGAGAAAAGCACTGCTAGGAAGGACAGAAAAGTGTTAGTAACATCCATCTGAAAGTCTCGGTCTTTCTGAAGTTTCCTTTAAGAAAAAACAGACATAAATTTAAAAGTACCATACCACAAAAAGTCTTTTAAATCACCAGTATCATCTTGAGTGCCAAAACATACAAAACATGTAAGCCTCACTAGTATTTTCTTCCTCTTGCCTTTCCAATGATACTAAATTGGTGGACATAAACCACTTTTGTCTAAAGCTACTGCTCCTCCAGCAAAATAAGAAGTTTTAAAGCTATAATATTTTTTACGTCTTTCTTTTGAGGGAAGACAATACAGTACTAGTGGCTGAAATTATTTTGTAAATTTGAAAAATGTGCTTACTACTTCTGTCCAAACCGCACCTTCAATGGCTTTTTTTGTAAAAAAAACCCTAACCAAACAACATATTTAAGACTGTGCAAAGCCCACTCTTGACATTATTTGGTGCTGCCTAATGCAGGTTTAGTTTCTTGCAATTGAAAATAGGCAGCTCTGCTTCAGCATAGAAGAGTCCAAAACCCACTGGAAGTACAAAAAAGTTTGGGAGCATTTTTTGGCTCTAACAAAAAGATTTAAAAAATGAAATAGGATGTGAGGGAGGAACACCGCCACGCTGTTCAGCTACTGTTGAACTGATGGTGGCTGAAAATTGGTACCCACTAATGGCTGCTTTATGGCCTGTATCGAATGAATCCGACCAGTTTTTCAGAGGAAAAGTACTCACGTCACAAACCTATTACTATAATTAGCAATCCTGACGGTAGTCCTAGCAAAAAGGACAAGGACTGAATGAGCTATGGAGAATGAACTATCCTCTCACATGCAGAGGTGGCTTTTCCAGGTCAGGGCTAAAGCATAGTATCGAAATAGTCTGAGAAAATATGTACCGATGCTTTAGTTTTCTAGGCTGTCAATCTTGCACCATTCTAAAAAACTAACAAACAACACACAGCACAAACGATCAAAGCTTCCGCCCCCCACCCACCCCCGATTTATCTTTTAAATTGACAAGCAAGCTAGAAAATGTTATTGGGTCAAGATAAAAAGAATTATAATGATAATAAAACAAAATATCGACCAAGAGAATAGAGACTTCAGATACTGCCAATGTACCCCCAAAATACCCTTGTATTTCAAACAAGAAAACACCAACAAAATAGTAAATGTTGCAAGGATAGTTACAGCAGCCAGGGCTGCACTTCCCTTGTACAGTAATTCTAATTTACAGAGGATAGCCTGACAAATGTCGACACTCTTTTTCTTACACTGGTAAAGCATCTCAGCAATCTACAACAAAAGACCTGATTTTGCCAGGTTTTTATTTTTCATGCAAAATTCCTCATTACTACTATTATTCAATTTCTGTTATTCAGTGTTCGTCTCCCTAGTATGTCTCGGCAAGTAACGTACATGAGAAAAAACAGGTTAAGTCTCTGATTGCTAAAACTTGAAATATTTCCAAGTCCCTTGGAGATGTTCTTGTGATGACATAGTCTAGAGTAGCTCTCAATTTAGCAGAACAGTAGTTGTGCAGGTAAAGACAAAAAAATCAAAATTAAAAGAAAGTACAAAAGACACAAAAGACTTATGTGCTTCAAAATGTATTAGTAGTTTTAACAAAGATAAAAAAGTGTCCCACCTAGAAGATGAACAGCTACCAAGAATCCCTATCTACACACCTCTTCTTTTCATATTTTAATTTAGCCTTCAGTCTTTGAAAAGCATTATCATTGGTAAGTACAGAGGTTCAGGTAAAAGATTCTGTCTGGGGGCTTATATGACTTCTTCTATGACATTAACCAAGCAGGTTCATTAACACATTAACAAAAGGTATCATCAGGATGTTTCTCCACACCTTGATCTTTGTTTGAGATTCTCCAGTTTTCTTTAAAGCTCAAGAAGATGGATTTTAATTTAGCAACAGAGGCAATGCATACGCCTATCCTTACAACTCCTCTGAGGAGTCTTGCAAATTTGCCT